GGCGAGCTCAACGGCTGCTCCGAGCGGCGGCAGCGCCGCCTCAGCTGGCGGCGGGGCTGCGGGAGACACCGCGTCCGCCATCCAGTGGGTGCTGCGCCTGGCGGCCCAGGCGGCTGATCCTGCGAATCGGATCTCGATGCTGCGAGCCCCGCAGGTTGGAGGACCAGGGGGCGACAACGAGAGCTACGACGAGTACGTCATGGTGGGCTCGGGGGCCTCCAGAGCGACGTGCCCGCGCAGCCATGTCCGGAGCGCGGCAGTGCGTGGGCCTGCCCAGTACTGCGACATCCGCGCCGCGGACGACAGGAGTGTGAAGCGCTACGGCGAGAAGGGCGTGCAGTACGACCTGCTAGACGGCTCAGACGTGCACGGAGTGGGCATCGATTACCATGTCGTTGACGTCTCGCGCCCCATCGTGGGTGTCGCCGAGGTGTGCGACAACGGCCAGTCTGTGCTGTTCTCCCCGACGGGCTCGTCCATCGTGCCCGCGGTGCTCGGCCCACCAGAGGGCATCGCCAACGCGCCCTTGGTGCGACAGGACTCCTTGTTTCGGATGCGAGGGCGCGTCGTGGGGGCCACGCCGACGACGTCCGAGACGCTGCGGCCCAACCCGGTCGGGGCCGAAGCGCCCGCGGCAGCGGCCCCCGCGGCGGCCGAGCAGCCCCAGCACGAGGAGGCGCCGCTGGCAGAGGCAGACCCCGACGAGGTGCCAGCCAGGGCGAAGCGGGTGCCACCGCTCCCCAGCCAGGAGGAGATCGACAAGCACGAGCTTGCCCACCTTCCACCGAGAGGCTGGTGCTACAAGTGCGTGCCAGCCAAGGCGGCGTACGACCCGCGCCGACAGGGCGGCGGGCATGGCGGCGTCGATGATGTGCAGATGGACTACCTGCAGCTCCGCGCCGTGGTTGCAGTCGAGGAGCTGTCGGCCTCAGCCGACAGCGAGGCGTGGTTGGCGCCAGCAGACAGCGGATCGACCAGGTCGTCCTGATGCCCCAGCTGGTGGTCCCAGTCGCTGGCGACGGCGTGGAGGTGTTGCTCAACGTGCTGGTGGTGGCGCACCGTCAGTCTGCTGCAGTGCATGCGGTCTTGGGGCCGAAGGGTAGTCACCCCTTCGTGTCAACTGCATCGGGTGCAGCCATTGGCGCTGGGGGCATCGCGGAGTGCATCCTGCGCACCGGCCAGGAGCCAGCAGTCCAAGCGCTGGCCGAGCAGATCTCCGATGAGCGGAAGCTGAAAGGCTTCAAGTGCCACTTCGCGGCGGCGCCTGCCAGGAGCCACTCATCGATAGGCTTCGTGGAGGCCATGAGCGATCAAGTGGCAAAGCAGGTGCGCGTGACCAAGCTCCAGCTCGAGTCGGGCATGGGCGCGCGCACTCCCGTGTTCCATGGGGTGATGCCGTGGGTGACCAGGTATGTTGTGTGGCTCCTCACGCGGTTTGCCGTCAGACATGCCGCTGACAAGACGGCCTACCACGTCGATCGGGGCAAGCCGTGCCGAGGGGAGGTGGCCGCGCTCGGGGAGGTCGTCTGGGCCCGAGTGCCGCGCGACCGCGCTCGGGAGGCAGAGGCTCAGTGGCGCTTGGGTGTCTGGCTGGGCAAGACCGAGAAGAGCGACGAGCACCTGGTCGGCGGGTCGCGGCAGTCCAGCCGCCGTCGCGCGATCGGGAGGCAGCCGAGGAAGCGGAGGTTCAACGTGGACGCGTTGAACAGCTTCGCGGGCTTGCCTTGGAACCTCCAGTCCAAGCCTGAGCGCGCGGACACCGCGGCAGAGCAGCCCCGGGGGGGCGCCGAGCCCCGCCGCGGTGACAATGTGGCGAGGGCGCGCCAGGCGCAGGCACAGCAGCGCCAGGCCGAGGAGGCGCCTCCAGCAGCGGCAGCAGCAACGGCGGCGAGTTCATCCCAGCCACCTCCTGCAGAGGGCGGCTCCGCGGGCGACTCCGCGGGGGTGGGCGTTGGCTCGAGGGGCCGACCAGCAGCTCCCGCAGACGGCGAGCCAAGGCTGAAGGCGCCCTGGGTAGCCAACCTCGCGGTGCCCTCCTCGGGACTCGGCGGCGGGGACTGCGAGCGGATGCAGCTGTTCGCGGCGTCCGTGCGCGATCGGGAGACTCCGACAGCGTGGGCCTACGACCTCGTACCAGAGGCGGTGGCGTGCGACAGCCGCGCGGGAGAGATGCTCCCGAGGGAGCTCGTGGTGCAGGGGCGCCAGCAGGAGTTGTACCAGATGGCCGCGTTCGGCGCCTACGAGGACGTATCCGAGCGTGGGTGGGCGCATGCGGAGCAAGTGGCTTGACGGACTCCGATGCCGGCCAGACGGGGCGCCATTCGCACGGTCGAGACTCGCGGCCATGGACTTCAACCTCACCTCTTCGAGCGCGACGACGTGGTGGCAGGTGCGTCGCACCTCTTCTACTTGCGCTCGGTGGTGCCCTTGGCTGCCTCGAAGCCCCCATCGGGGCAGAGGCAAGCGGCTCTGTGCGATGCCAGCGTGGCGTTCTCCTACGCGGACATGGGCGAGCGGCTGTGTGCGATGCCACCGCCGGGGCTGCGTCGGCCTGGGCGGGTCTGCAGCTCCGCAAAGCGCTACGGCACCAGGCCTGCGTCGAGGCCGTGGCAGGCGTATGTCGGCGACGTCTTCGAGAGGAGTCAGCCACCATGGGCTCGGATCACGTCGCGTGCCCTGGCGCCTTCTACATCGAGACGTTGGACATCGCGCTGGGCGTGCACGGTGACGACTTGGTGGCCGAGGGCATCTCGGCGAAGCTGGACGTGCTCGACGCGTTGCTGGAGGGGCACGTCTAGATCAAGAAGCTTGGTCGAGTGGGGCCGGGTGCCGCCGGCGGCGACCACGGCAGGCTGCTCAAGCGTCGCATCGAGTGGCGGGCGACTCTGTCTCCTCGCTTCGTGTGGAGATCAATTGATTCGCACGTGGACAACTTGTTCGAGCTCCTGGACCGGCCAGCTGACACGACGAAGCCGCAGGCGAGTCCAGGTTCGAAGGCCACGGGGGGCTCCGTGCCCAAGGAGGCAGTTGTGAACGAGCGGCTCAAGAGGTTGGTGCCCGAGGCGGGCGGCGTGCTGACCTACCTGTCTCAGGGCGTGCCGCAGGTGAAGTACGCAGAGAAGATGATCATGGCGGAAGCGTCGAAGCCTACGCCGCTAGCTGAGGTCCAGCTCAAGCGTGCTGCATGGTACCTGGTGGGGAGCCCAGTGACGGAGTGGCACTACCCGTTGCAGGGCCTCCCAGTCACGGCGGACGTCGAGGGCGACAGCGACTGGGCAGGAGCGCATGACGCGAAGTCCACGCAGTGCACGGTGATGATGTTCGGGGATCACTGCCTCGAGGTGACGACTTCAACACAGGGCGGCGTGGCGGACGTCAAGCGGGGTGGCAGAGCTCCTAGCTCTCAGAAGGGCGGGCGCCTCCGCTATCCTGTTGCAGCAGATCCTTGCACTGCGCGGGGTCCACGCGCAGGGAGTTGCTGGCACGGACAGCTCGGCCGCAAAGGGGGTGGCCCACTGAGTGGGGCCAGGCCGAGTGCGGCATCTACGTATACAGGACCTGTGGATACAGGAGCGCGCGCGGACGAAGGATCCGAAGGTGATCAAGTTGGACACGGTGCTGAACCGAGCAGACATCGGGACGAAGTACCTGGACGGCTCGAGGATCGAGGTCTTGCTGAAGCTCATGGGGCTAGCGACAAGAGGGCGCGTGGCTGGCCATGTGAGCGACTCGACGGCAGCTATGCTGAGGGTAGTCACGACAGCAGCATGCGCGCGCGGCGTAGCGAGGGACACCGCAGCCACGGGAGAAGGCCAGTATGACAGCAGCACGATGGGCATCGTCATGCCGCTGTTCCTGTTCATGCTGTTCCTGGTCAGCCCGGCGCTGCGGGCGGCGAGGTATCGGAGGGCACCGACGACGGGCGAGACGAAGACGCCCAGGGCGGACGAGAGCGGGAAGCGCCGCCTCCAGCCTCGGAGAGCGCGGACAAAGGGATCGGCAGCGGGAGGCTCCGCGCCGATCAAGGACGAAGGACCTCGGCAGCGACGGCAGGTCGCGTCGAGGATCGTGGGGTGCCAGTGCGAGGAGCTCCACGGCGGTCCACACAGTGGTGAGCAGATCAGGGACGACCTGATGCGCCACAGGGTGGACGAGCTGAGGGCGCCACAGGCTGGCGAGGCTGGCGGCGGGGCCATCCAGGGCCAAGCAAGGCCCGAGGCTGACCATCGACGAGCTGGTCGGGTCGGCTACTACTGCGGCTGCGAGCGCCAGCACCTGAAGGTGCCCGACGACCCCTGAGAGGCCGTGCCCAGCGGGAGGCTTCTCGGTGAACGCCGCGCCTCGCTCCGCAAAGACGCGGCGAGGAGGCGTGTCTGAGGTGGGAGGGCGCTGAGACGCAGCCCTCTTGGTTCAAAAAGGGTCGCGGTTCCGAGGGAGGGTGCCGCGCACTGTTGCATTTTTCAAGACGAATGCGCGAGGGGCTAAGGCGAGAGCCACATGTTCAAAACGACCCGCCCCAAATCCATTAAATCCTTAGTTTTTTCTTCAAATTTCGCGGAGCTCAGGCAAGAGCTTCTTTTTTGCATGCGACTCGTCCTCGGTCCGTGAAGTTCTGGCCACAGAAGAAGGATGCTCGCAGCGTTAATGCGAGAGCTACAGATTGGAAGCGGCCCGCCCTTCATCAGTGAGTTGGCTGCAACTTTCTAAATGTCAGGATCATCAGCGGTAAGGAAAGCTCGGGCGAAAGGCCCGGTCCGCCCTCTCTACTGGCCTCGGGGTGCGACAAGGAGGAAATGTTTGTAAGATATAGGAGTGGATCAGGAGGAGGAATAGACAGGGGAGGAGGAGGAGGAAGAGGAGGTGGAGAACGAGGAGGAGGAGGAGGAGGAGGAGGAGGAGGAGGAGGAGGAGGAGGAGGAGGAGGAGGAGGAAAAAACTCCCCCCCCTCTGTTCGCTTGGGGCCCCCGCGAAAGCGCCTCGGGCAGCCCGCCTGCCCTCAGGAGCACTGAGCAGCAGCGGCTCGAGCGCCCGCGGCCCCGCCGCCCCGGGGCGGCGCGCGGCGACGACGACGCGCCGCGTCGTCGTCGCCGCCAAGGCTGCCGCCGTCGTCTCGGGTGTAATGTCAGCTCAGGGGGCGACCGTTTGAGGTTCGAGGTTTTTGGCGCGTTTCCGTCGTATCTCGGCGGTTGTCCAGCTTCGGGGTGGCTGTTCCAGCGGCTGCGCCTCGCCGAGAGCGTTCCAGGGGTGCCCTGATCGCCCCGAACGGCCGAGTTCTAATTCGAACGCCAGTGAGCAAAGCCAAGGGGGATAGGCTGGCTCAGGGCGGGGGGGCATCGGCCCCCGATCGCCCATTCTCTCGCGAGAGGGGCCCCCATTTCCCATCCTGCCCAGGAGCGTGCGGATTCGCTGCTCCGTCGGCGACGTATCGCTGATTCTGGGTCAATGTTCCCCCCCCTGAGCGGGTCCCCCCCTGATCGTTGTCCCTCACCGTCGCCTGCTCTCATCTGCCCGCCGGCGGCGGGGCGTGCGCCGCGCAGGCTGCAGCCGGGGGCGCGCTGGGGGGGAGGGCGCGCCCGAGGCGGGGGCGGGAGAGCGACAGTTCAGCGTGAGGAGAACTTCCTCCTCCTCCTCCTCCTCCTCCTCCTCCTCCTCTGCTCCTCCTCCTCCTCCTCCTCCTCCTCCTCCTCCTCCTCCCTCCTCATCCTCCTCCTCCTTGTCCTCCTCCTCCTCCTCCGTCCTCTTCCTCCTCCTCCTCCATTTTCTCCTCCATTTTCTCCTTCTCCTCCTCCTCCTCCTCCTCCTCCTCCTCCTCCTCCTCCTCGGGTCGCCTACGGCCCGGGGTGAAGCCGTGCGCCCCCTTTAGTCAGGCGATCGCAAGCATGGATCAGGGAGGCGTGGACTAGCGACGGGACCCGTTTTCATATGCAATCGCGGAGTTCTGCCCCCGAGCGAGGCGGTACCGGCCGCATCTTGGTGAGGGCACCTTTCCCGATCCATGGACTTGGCGACCGCGCGCCAGATCCATGGATCGCTAATCCATGTTTGCGCGCCCCCGAGGAGAAGCGACCCGAGGGAGAGGGGTCCTGAGGTTTTCGCCGCTTTCCCGCTCCCGAGGCCCTCCCAGGCCGCCAGGGCCGTCCAGAAAGTAGGTCGGGATGAGAAGCTGGTCCTGGGGCGCAGGACCCGTTACCCTCGCGTCAAGTGGTGTGGGTTGGTTACGGTAATGGTTCCTACCGATGGCAAATCTCATCATGCAGTCGCTTGAGGATCAGTAACATGCAGCAATGCTGTGATGGTGATGACTCGTGATGGTGAAGCTGATGATCATAGCGAGTATGCTATGTCATATTGGTTATGATGGTGGTGGTGATGGTGATGGTGATGGTGATGATGATGATGCTGATGATGATGATGATGATGATGCTGATGTTGTTCTTGTTCATGATGCTGGCGAGGACGCTGACGATCATGACTCTTATCCTGATGGCGGGTGCGATTGCGATTGCCATGCTGGTAGGGCTAATGATGCTGCTGATAACGATGGTAATGATGCTCTGGCTGTCGCTGGTGATGGTAAAATAGTGATGATGGCGATGAGGATGAAGACGATGATGATGACGACGATGATGATGCTGATGATGATGATGATGATGATGATGATGATGATGATGATGATGGTGCTGGTGGTGGTGTTGATGGTAATGATCTCATCTTGATGAGGATGAGGATGCGGATGATGCTGATCCCGATGCTGATGCTGAGGCTGCTGATCATGATGCTGCTGATGGCGATGATGATGCTGATGCTGATGGTGATTGTGACTATGATGATTATGATGATGATTGGTGGTGATGATGAGTATGATGATTGGTGGTGGTGATGGTGATTATGGTGGGAGGTGGTGCTGGTGGTGTTGCAGATTATGATGATGATGGTGATGATGCTGATGAGGATGATGATGGTGACGGTGATGGTGATGATGCTGATGATGATGATGTTGATGATGAGAGTGATGGTGACGACGACCACGACAATGATGATGATGATGATGATGATGATGATGATGATGATGATGATGATGATGATGGTGTTGATGATGTTGATGATTATGCTGATGATAATGATGGTGATGTTGATTATGATGGTGGTGATGATGCTGATTAGGTTGATGATGACGATGATGATGCTGATGATGGTGATGATGCTGATGTGGTTGATGACGATGGGGTTAGTGATGCCGATACCGTTGTCGGTGGTGATAAACCCGAACCGCTTGCCGCCGCGATTCTTCACGTCTCCCGGCCACAGAAACCTTCAAACCTTGGTGGACGCACCCCTCCTTCAAGTCATCCTGATCGCACTCCGCCAGGACGCACTCCTTGCAGACGTCCCCGAAGTCCTCGATGGAACGCACTTCCCGATGAAGGAATGAAGAGCAGTACGACGAGGACGAGGACGAGGACGAGGAGGAGGAGGAAGAGTAGGAGGAGGGGCAGTAAGAAGAGGAGGAGAAGGAGGGCGAGAAAGGAACTTTACAGTGGAAAAACAGGGCCAGGGGAGAGATAAGGCCAAGGCGGGCCCCACAGGAGAAGGGATAAGAAGGGAAGTGGTGGCGGAGAGGGAGAGTGGGGAAGGACGGAGAAGGTGAAGGGTGAGGCACAAGGAAGCGGAGGTGGAGTCAGAGGATGGCTAGGAGTAGGTAGTCAAGTTAGCTAGGTCGAGCGAGTCAGAGAGCCCCGCCTATTCCCACCCTCCCGCGCAACCTGATCTTGGGATTGGAACGCGCTCCCACCTAGCAATCGCAAGGCGCTCGCGCTCGGCCTTGCTTCCGATGACTTGGCGAAGGGAGCTGCGCGGGCCGCGCAGGGGCGGGAGCGGCAAACCTTCCGGTGGGAGCGGCGAAGAAGAATTGTGCGCCGCGCTGACACAGCGCTGGCACTTTCAGTCACAAATCTGTACGGCGCTTGTGCGAGGTCGGCGTTTCGCCCGCTCTGGCGCTGCCTCGCTGCTGCCATCGATGTCGTGCGATCCGGCGAATGCGCCTTGCGCGCGCCCGCGCAAAGTTGGCGGGTGAAAAAGATGCGCCGCGCCTGGGCGGGAGGGCGAAGTCTGCGCGGCGCCGAGGCGAGAGCGACATGTTCGCCCGCTCGCGCCTCGACGGCGCTGCGGGCGAAGAGTGCGCGCCGCGCCCAGGCGGGAGCTCCATGCTCTTGCAGGTGAGACCGGCGCCGAGGCGAGAGCGCCTTTCTGGCCTCTCGCGCGGGCTGTGCGCCCCCCGCTCCGCTCCTGCCGCGCAGCTTGCAGCACGGACGACGTGATGTCCATGGTGACGGGGCTCGTTTCGATTCCTCCGGTCCGATACGATTCGACTTAAGTGGCTTCCGATTCCGATTCGAGTCGACTTCGGCTTCCGATTGGGGATCCGATTTCTCAACGGAGGCCTACAAGCCTGCCGATGTCTGCCGATTCGACTTTTCCCGGCTCGGCTGCCGATTTCCGCCGCTCCGATTTATGTCGATCGCCGATCGGACTTGTCGATTCGATTTTGGGATTTCTTGTGTTGTCAATGGAAATGTCGACTTGGCGTTGATTTATACTGAGGGGGTAAAGGAGGGGGTCCCTGATCCCGCGGCCATCGGCCGCCTGGGTGGCAGAGTAGGATTCGATATCAATAAGGGGATGCGTAGAGGGTTCAGGAGGCGAAGGATAATGAGATTGATGAGGGCGGTGGTGGTGAGGATAATGACGACGATGATAATGGTTGTGGTGAGGCTGATGCTCATGATGCTGCTGATGATGATGCTGACGATGACGATAACGATGATGATGAGGATGACGTTGATGATGATGCTGATGATTATTATGATGATGACGATGATGGCGATGATGCTGATGATGGTGCGATGGTGACGATGATGATGCTGCTGATGATCATATTGATGATGATGATGACAATGATTGTGATGCTGAGTATGATGAGGATGGCGGGTCACGACGAAGGACCGAAGCTCGGGCTTCACGGTTTGTCGCAGTCAGTTGAGACCGTTCCATGTCAGGTTGAACATGTTGATGATAAGGGTGATGATGGTGTTGTTGGTGTTTTTGGGGGGTTTTAACGATTATGATGCTGGTGATGATGCTAATGATGATGATACTGATGATGCTGTAGATTCTGATGGTGTTGATGATTATGTTGCTGCTGATGATGAGGAGGTTGATGATGATGCTGATGCTGATGCTGATGAGGATGATGCTGATGATGTTGATGGTGGTGGTGATGGTGATGAGTATAGTTACGACCCCACGCTGGCGAACCATACGGTTGCATGTGCGCAGGAGAAGGGGGACGATGCGGGTGAGGATGAGGAGGATGAGGAAGCGGGCGAGTTTGAAGAGCAGGAGCAGGAGGATCAAGAGCAGGTTGAGCATGAAGAAGAGGAGCACAAAGATGAGAAGGTGGAGTGAACATCGAGTGGTGGAGGAGGTACTTGATGGGGAGTAGGAGGACGAGGACGACGACGGGGACGAGAAGGATGACGGGGGGATGCGAGGGAGGAGGAGGAGGAGGAGGAGGAGGAGGAGGAGGACGACGACGAGGATGAGGAGGAGGATGGCTGCGGTGGTGTGCTCGTGCCGAGGGTGGACGGTAGGGCAGGCAGGACTGTCCTCGAGGAGATTTTTGGAGACGTGGCTCGCACCCTGTCGAAGAGAGCCGATCGACTGCCCTTGTGAGCACCAAGACGATTCGAGAGAGATCCAGCAGAGTTTTGAGCAGAGTTTCGAGACGTACTTTGGTTGTGGGTCGGGGTCTTCACGGATGCTTCTTGGGGTCTTGGAGGGCTCTCGGGAGCCGGGGAGCAGTTTTGAACCCGTTGGGGAGCCTCTTGGGGGCTTCTTGAAGGGTCTCTTGGGGCTTCCTGGGGGCTTGTTGGGGATCTTGGGTGTCTCTTTTGGGGGGGGCTTTCGGGGCGCCTCTCAGGGTCGAGACAAATGTCTGCTCGAGTTCCCACTCTGGGCCCCCTCTTGGGGCCATCCTGGCGCCGCCTTGGAGGCCTCTTGGGCCGTCTTGGGGCCGTCTTTGACCATTGGGGGGCCTCATTGGAGGCTTTTTGTGCCGTCTTGGAGCGATCTTGGGGCCTCTTGGTCGGCCCAGGGCGGTCGGCAGCTCGAAATGGTGGTACCGGCAAAATCGTCTGAAAACCCATGCGAAATCAATGATTTGTACGTCTTCGGGGCTTCTCGAAGTTCTTTGGGAACCCTCCTGGATCGTCTTGGGCGCTTCTTAGGCCGTCTTGGGGCCAATGTGGGCCATCTTGGAACGCTCTTGGCATGAGGCCGTGGGGCGTGCCACTCTTTTGGCGCCTCATTGAGGCGCTCAGGTGGCCCCAGAGGCCGCGCCCAGGAGTTCCAGCATCTCAGACCAGACCTTGCCGGTACCTTGCCGGGACTTTGCTGGAGTACTTTTTGTCCAGGGACCCCCAGGGGCCGCCACGCGCGCGCAAACGAGAAGCATGATTGAACTCTTACCGGTTACCGGAGATTTTAGCACGTTTCTGGCCTGTTGGGCCGGCGAATTCTTATTTATGTGTGTCTTCCCTTCTTCCTCTTCGTCCTCTCTGCTCCCTCACTCTCCCACTCCCCCTCTCTTCCTGTCTATGACTTCGTCATTGACCCCATTTCCCGTTTCCCCCTCTCTTCCTGCTCCCTCGCCCTCATACGCCGTCAAGGCTCTGGAGCAGGGGCCACTTTGATGGACCGAGGGGGTGCTCCGGCTGTCGGGCTGCTCCTCAGACCTGCAGGCCCCAGAGAAACATAGCGGGCACTCACGCCACGTTCTCGGGGGCGGCCAAGAGGGGAGTGATAACTCGGGGGGGGGATATCATGGTGGGGGCAATGATATTTCCACTGATTTCATGGCGCCTCGTCGTATTTCATTACGTCCCTGGCCCCCCCCTCTGGGCCGCGCCCATGCCGCCGGCCATGATTTGCGCCCCCCCCCTCTTGGGCGCCCCCCTCATGGCCGCCCCCGACATTCATCGGTCAACGCCTCCCCCTCTCCACCCAGTGTTCAAAATTGGCGGTGGGTCTGATGAGTTGTATTTCAGCCGCAGTCTCCTCCGCGCGTCTTTGAATTTGGTGGGCGGCAAAGGGGGGGAGTGTCCATGAATTGTCTCCCTCTACCGTATGTCGATGAACCTATTCGTGGCAAAGACTCCCCGTGACCAGAAAAGCCTCTGCGTTCCTGGCTCAGCGTTCCTTCTGGTAGCACGATGCTCCCTCCCTCTCCCTCCAAGATGCCCTACCTTGTTATTTCCCGTCTCCTCCGCTCGCTATTTTGCCCCTACCATCGCCCCCCTTCCCTCCACTGCCTCTTCTACGCCATCCTCTCCCCCTCCTCCCTCCTCCCTCCTGCCCGCTCCCTCTCTCCCTCCTCCCTCCTCCCTCTCCCTCTCCCCCTCCTCACTCCTCCCTTCCTCTCCTCCATCTCCTCACTCTCCCTCCCCCCCTCTTCTCCCCCTCCCTCTCCCCCTCCTCCCTCCTCCCTACCTCTGCCCCTTCTCCCTCTCCCCCCCCCCTTCGCCCCACTGGCTCTTCTGCCCCTCCCGCTGCGAACACTATTCTCCTCTCTCCCCCCGAATACGCGCTGAGAGCATCCGCCCCTCCCTCCGCGCATCGTCTTTTACGCACACGATGTGGGCGAGTTGTTCTTGTCCCCATCTGTCCTATCCCAACGTTTTCGGCCCTTCCAGCCCTGTGCCCCTGCTGCAGCGAAGGCCTCATTTCAGGATCGGGGCCCGGCTCTGGGCGTTCAGACTGGAGCTCTCGCCCCGGTGTTGGCCTGTTGGCCACTTTTCTGGATCCGAGTCGTTCTTCACCGTTGCCGCCCGCTCCTTTCCCCTCCTCCGCCTTCCCCTGGCCCACCTACTTTCCCGCTCCTTCCGCTCCAGTGTCGGCTGCTGCTCTTCGTCCTCGTCCTCCCTCCTCCTTCCTCCTCCTTTTCGTGCTCATCCGCCTCCTCCTCCTCCTCCTCCTCCTTCTCCTCCTCCTCCTCCTATGTGCGCAGCTCCCCTTTCCTTTTTGCGCATACCACGATGGTGTCGTTTTTGGGGTTCCGTGTCCACAACACACGCTTCCGAGGATAGAGGAACAGTCAGCACAATTGGAAGGGATGGGTTGGAGGGGTAGGATGTCAGACACGGCGAGCGCGCGCAACCAGCTCGCCTCCTCCCTCTTTTCCCTTCCCTCTCCCTTTCTCCCCCCCCCTCCGTATCTCTGCCTCCCGTGCTCTCCCTCCCCTGTTTCTCTTCCCCCTTTTCTCTTCCCTTTTTTTGTCTTTTGTTTGTTCTCTCTCTCTCTCTCTCTGAGGAGGAGGAGGAGGAGGAGGAGGAGGAGGAGGAGGAGGACGAGGACGAGGAGGAGGAGGAGGAGGTGGAGGAGGAGGAGGAGGAGGTGGAGGTGGAGGAGGAGGAGGAGGAGGAGGAGGAGGAGGAGGTGGAGGAGGAGGGAGGAGGAGGAGTCTCCCTCCCCCTTCGCTCCTCCCCCTCCCCGGGGCTCTTGGCCGCCCAGGTCACCAGCGGCAGCACGGCCCGCGGCGGCGGCCCTCTCGGCTCCGACGCCCGCTCCTCGGCGGGGCCTCTCCGGGAGATCGGGGCGATCGAAACGGGTTCGGGAAGACTGTGGGGGCCCCAAACGGGGTGGTGACCACACCGTGCGGTGAGTCGGTGGGCATTCGGGGGCACCGCACGGTTTTGGGACTCGGGTCGTTCTCCGAGGACGTCTCGGGCGACAGGGGCCTCCGGGGTCCCAAGACCGTGCGGTGACGGACCGTGTTGGGGGGTTTCGAGGTCACCGCACGGTCTGTCACCGCACCGTTTCGGGACTCCAAAAAGGCAGGGCACGATGCCCAAGAGCAGTTCCTCTGCGTTTTGAACCGGGCTCGCTGTCCGCGCGGCCGCGGACGTGGCTCACGGAGGACCAGACGGCGGCGGCGCCCAACGGCGGCCGCCCTTTGTCTTGGACAGCATGTGTTGTCGGGCACTGTGCCCATTTGCTCCGAACCCATTTCGGGCGTCCAAAGGGGAGGCGCCGGCAGGCGCGTGTTGGGTCCGTGGGGGCCGGGCGTCGCGCAATAGCGGGGGGGGGGCGATGAGCCGAGACCTCCTGGGGCAACGAAAGAATCAAGAGGGGAGGTTGTTCCCCATGTTCGGCCTCCCGGCGCTCTCGCCGGGCCCTGGGTCCGTCTAAGAACGGCTCAGGATGAGAAGCCGGTCCCAAGGACGGGGTCCAGACCTCTGGGGGTCGACGCTGAGAAAAGATCACGACGTCGGGGGTCTGGGAATGGGGGTGACGAACCATACATTTTCTGGAGGCCTAATGGGGCCCAAAGGGCCTCCTGAGGCCCCAAAGGGGCACGAAAGGCGAACGTTTCTTCGCCCCCGATTCTTATGGCTTGAGCAGGGCCGGGGGCCAATGAGCGCGTTCGCCCTTGCAGCACCACCACAAATGGACGTGAAGGGGGTCAAACGCCTCGTCGGTTGAGCCGACGAAGATGTGCAACATGCTTGGTCAGCTGCCTGTTGCGTTTGCGTTGGCAGCTCCGAGGTGGGTGTTTGCCAGAGTTCCACATTTCACTTGGCTCCTTGTTTTTCAGAGAATGTCGACGTTGGGGGTGGTAGAGTGTGGCAGTGCGGAAAAAAACACGCCTCCCTGACTTCGGCCTTGGCCACCGAGCGACGCAGCTCTTCAGTTCCACGCCGCTAATTCGAGGGTTGGGACAGATGCGGAATGCCACTCGCGCAACTCTGGCAGGATCTTAGACGGTTTGTTGTGCGAGGAGTTCGTGCGCGATGTAGGAGATCATGCGGTGGTCGATCCTGACGGGAGGCTGTCCGTTCTACGTGGGAAAATTTGCGTACATGCCCTCTCGCGTGCGCGCGCGCATCGTCGTGGGCCGCCGCGCCGCCGCGCGCGCGCGCGGCGGCTCTGGCCCGTCCTGCGCGACGAGAAGGCAGTGCGGAAGAGGCGAGGCCCGCCGCGCGCGGCGGCGGCCCGGGGCCCATCCTGCGCGACCGCGGTGCGGGAGAGGCGGGGGCCGCCCTGCGCCTGCGGCCTGCCTCGCCCAGGCCGCGCAGAGGAGAGAAGCACCGTGCCGGGGAGGCGGGGGCCGAGACGCGGGCGGCCCGGGGCCCATCCTGCGGTGGCAGGAGACGGGCGGGAGAGGAGAGCCGCCGCGCGCGGGGCGGCACCGGCCCATCCTTGGGGCACCTCCTCCTTCTCCTCCTCCTCCTCCTCCTCCTCCTCCGTCTCCTCTTCCATCTCCTCTTCCCCCTCACCCTCCTCCACCGCCTCCTCCTCCGCCTGGGGTCGCCTACGGCTCCGGGGGAAACCGTGCAGGGAGCGCAACGCGGGGGAGGCGAGGGCCGCCGCACGCGCGGCGGTTCGTGGCACCTTCTGTGCAGAGCAAGGCGCGGGAGAGGCGAGTGCGGAGGCGCGCGCGGGGCGGCACTCGGCCCACTGTTCCAGGCATGGCGCTGCCCAGTCCGATGTGGCCCCTGGGGTTGCCGCGCCCGCGGCGGCCCCCGCCCTGTGTCTTGCGCGCTTCCTTGCAGGACGGGCCATGGAGCCGTTGCCCGCGGTGGTCCCTATCCCCCGAGCACTGCGCTGTTCCATGCTGCGCAGTCCCAGAAGTCGAGCATACCCTCGAGGCCGCACAGGTGCCGCGTTGCGAAGGGGGCAAGCTGGTGCCCTTGCGTTGCCTCGAGTGCGAGGTTTAACGGCACCGCCCGCGTCGCGCGGTCAAGGGGGGGCGTCAGCCCAAAATTGACGGGAACCTCCGGGGTCAAGGGGCGGCGCCAAACCCCGCGGTCAGAGTGAGTGGACGTCGCCGCCCGCGGCCAAGGGGGTGTTTCAAACCCCGCGGTCAATTTCAACGCTCGACGTCAAGCGTCGGCGTCAAGCGTCGACGTCGAGCGTGGACGCCGAGTGGCAGGTGTTTCAAACCCCGCGGTCAATTTCAACGCTCGACGTCAAGCGTCGGCGTCAAGCGTCGACGTCGAGCGTGGACGCCGAGTGGCAACATGTGGCGTCAAGCCAGGGCGTCAAGTTGGTCCACCGACATCATCTCGTGGTTTGAGATCTGGTCGAAGGGACGCGCTTGCGCCAACGCTAGTGCCCAACGCTTGCGCTTGGCGTAGTGGCAACGTCAGCGCCCTTGACTTGCCCACGAGCCAGATAAGCCCCCCCCAATTGTATAGCTGCTTCGTTGTCCAATATAAGGCGCTATCCCAGATCGCGCGCGCAAGTAAACGCCCCGCGATCACTGCGCGCGGCCGCGCGCATGCGCGGCGGACATTGCGGCCGCAGGGGAACACGATAACAACGCAGCTTGCGGCCAAAGGCTTCCGACGGACTACAGGTCACGCGTGGCGCGCAAAACGTGGCGGGCTTCTGAGTGGATGCCTCCAGAGAGGCGTTGTTTTTTGCGCCCGTGGGGGGGGCGCCGGGGAGAGCCGTCTTCGCGCGGGCGGGTCTGGTCGGGGCCGTTCGCGATCCATCAACCCGGTTGACGCGGTTTTCGGACACGTTGGAGCATGTTGGGGGGCATTTTGAAAGACTTTGCCATGCTTTGTGCAGTGTTGGAGGACATCTCGCCTTCTGCAGTGTGCTGTGTCACATGTGACTCACTTCGCCTTCTCTATACGTATTTGAAGGGCTCTCACGGAGCTTGTTTGGGCCGTATTGGGGCTGTCTGAGCCTCCTGTGGGCCAGTATCGGTGGTCCCCTGGCCCTCTTGAGCTGTCTTGGTGCTGTCTTGTGCCGGTTGGGGGCCCTCTTGACCGTGTGACGGGTGTCTGGGGCCCGTCGTGGAGTACAGGGAGTTCAAACAATTAGGTCGGCATGCCCGGGCTCAGCCTCGCGGGCGTACTCTAAAACCATGATAAAAACATTTTGTTTGTTCCACGCCCTGCCGTCATCGCGCAAATGATATTCGAAAACGTAATTTCAAAAATTGTCACGGCGATCTTCCTCCAGATACTCTTCCAGATTTTCTTCCAGATCGATCTTCACAGGCCACTGACAGGTCCGCGCGAGATTCGATCCGGGTCGGTTCGCGATTCGATTCGATTGCCGAGCGATTCGATTGCGATCCGGTGCAAAGCGGGCGACGATCCGGTTCGCGATTCGATTTGGATCCGGCTGACCCCTGCGCTTCTCTTTTTTTTCTCCCGACGTCCGCTTGCTGCGCGAGAGGCCGCCAGGCTAAAGAAAAGGCTGTGGAAGGGGGGGAGGTGGACAGCGAGCTGTCCGGACCTGGGGGTCCGGGGCCGGACCGGGGGCTTTCGCCGCCGCCGGGCCGTCGTCGTCGTCGTCGTCGTCGTCGTCGTCGTCGTCGTCGTCGTCGTCGTCGTCGTCGTCGTCGTCGTCGTCGTGGTCGTCGGCGACGGCGACGGCGACGACGGATGCGACGACGGCGGCCGCCCCCGCGCCGGCGCCGCCTCGCAGCAGCGAGGTGCCCCGCTGGTCGGCCGGCCAGCCGGCCGGCCGTCTCGTCGTCGCCGTTTTCGTCGCTGGCCGTTGTGGGCCTCGGGGGCCCCGGAGGGGGGCCCCAGCTCAGCGTTCTGACAAGGATTTCGTGGCGGATCCAGCCTGGGCGACGAGCGGCCCCGAAACGCTCGAAACGCCGGAACGCCATAGGGGTGGCCCAGGAGGCCCCCCAGGCGATCCTTCATAACGGTCACGATAGCAACGGGCCCAAGCGACGTCCGTAGCCATGTGGGCCCAAGCCCAATCTTCCCGGCAGAATCTGAAACTCTCGTTTTTGAGAGGCTCTCCCCGTCAGCAGTGCACATCATGGTCCCCGTCCGCCCCGCCGTGCTGCCTTTCCGCAATGGCCAACCGACCGTGCGGATCATCGGCCCGTGGAGCAAGCCGACCATATGCGAGATAGGCCACTTGGTGACGTCCTGGGTGTTCCAACGGCGTCCGGAGGCATCCTCATCCGCCTCGCCCCTCCCCCTCCTCGCCCTCCTCGCCCTCCCTCCCCCCCTCCTCGCCCTCCTCGCCCTCGCCCTCCTCGCCCTCCTCGCCCTCGCCCTCCTCGCCCTCCCTCCTCCCCCTCCTCGCCCTCCTCGCCCTCCCCCTCCCTCCCCCCCGCCCCATCCACCCCCGTCTTCCCTCGGAAGGAGAGCTGCCCGATCGAGAGCGAGACTTGCAGCGCGAGCGAGTGGGTCTGGGACGATGAGGAGGGCGAGCTGCCAGAGGTGGCGGCCCGTGATCAGCCAGTCATGCCGAGCCGGCGGCCCATGAGTCGGTCGTCGGCCGATGCCCGGCGGTTCGTCAAAGGCGACCCAGCAATCCCCATGCTGCCATGGGCGCGCGCAGCGGAGCAGGAGCCCCAGGTTGAGCCCGAGGAGGCGCCGGAGGAGCTGGAGGAGGCCGGACAGCGGGCGGCGGCGGAGGTGCCGGAGGAGCCCCTGAGGGCCGGGCCGCGGGAGGGGGCGCGGGAGGAGGAGGAGGGGGAGGAGGAGGCGCCAGAGGAGCCCCGGACGCAGGAGGAGGAGGACGAGCCCCGGAAGGAGGACGAACCCCTAGGGGCCGGGGCGCGCGACGAGCCC